TTTGAACTGTGGTCGTTTCTTTAACATTTAACCTATATAACCACCATAATTTAGACTGAACTATGAGCTTGAACATGATGGTTTTATGTTTGTATTAGTATTTGCACTTGCTTGTTAAGTAAATCAGTATTTCCCTTAAGTCAATTGAACGTCCATATACCATACAGTCATTTAACGTCCTGTTCAAATGATGACGTCACAATGTAGAGCATCACTGTCATCCTGACTTCCTCTGGTTCCCGTTTCGCGGAATAATTGCAAGTCATGGCAGTATAGTTATCGGGGAAATAGTTGGCAACTAACTCATAATGATAATAATATATGAAATAATAATAATAATAATGATAATAATAATAATGATGATCATAACAATGATGATGATAATAACAATGATATTACAGAATAACTTAAAGGTAATATTTGAGCTAAATTGTGTTCTTTTAAACGTATCATTAATGTATTTTAGGCCATATAATTATGTTTTAGCTTCGTTTATTGAACGAGTCTTTGTTTTTCAGCTGCACATTCGATTATTAGTTTTATATAAATGAATAACAGAATAATTGACTTAGACTTATTGGAAGGGTACTACATAATATACGGCAGTCAATAGTATGAATTTAATAAAAACGATTTCAGTCAATATTTTAGGAGTATAATTTAGATATTGTTGTCTGTTAACCATTCATCCTATAGTTATACACGATTGGCTGTTTAGAACTGAAAATGTGTTGAATAGCGCATGCAATATTCCACTGCCTATATACTTAGCATTGGAATCTGTAGCTAAGAGCGGTTTGCAGTACATACACCCAGAAATGTGAAAGAGGAAGTTTGCTACAAAATTTTGCTTCGTAAATACCACTACAAACGAAGACCAAAAACCCTTTCAAATACGTAATATTGATAATACCCCGCGAATGGCGTATCAAGAAACTGATGGCGGGGTTAATTTTGTAGTCCTACTGAGTTCGACAAACCGAAACATTTTCGGTGATGAGGAATCAGTTTCCTTATTTCTTTTTTTTTTACTTCCGGACTCGGTAACTTTTTTGGAATTATTCGCTCTCCATTACAATGTTGCAGTACTATGTGAATGAAAAATATGGAATTTTGGGTTTCTCAAAAATTATGATTGATGCAGATTTGGAATTACAGTAAATTTAGGTCGTTTTTTAAACATTTAAGGAGGTGCCTGGAAGCAGAGGAGATCAGAAAGTATGATTTTATGACAAAGTTAATCTACGCTTATTAATGATCACACTCGTTTCTACAACCAAATACCCAATTTTATTCATATTCTGTTATGCAATTCACAGTTCCTCATCCAAATCTATTTGTTTTCCTTCGAAATAGTTGATGTGTTTAGCGTAAAGCAAAGGGGATTATTTTTGCCAGTAAAAGTTTCTCTTTCGTCGAGAATACTGCATGTCCATTTCCCCCGACGTGGCTTCGATACACGCGTCCTTGATACAAACAACTTTTATATAGGAATTGTGTGTTTCTCTCATTTTCTTTTCAACCATTACGTAGGCCTACTTTTTCTTTTGATTGTATTTGCATAATTCTATATAAAACTGAAAGCCACTATCCACATGTTTTGGGGCCAATGATTCGTACTGTTGTCTTCAGTGGCGTAGCTACAGAAGGCTACGGGGGCACGTGACCCCATCCCCCCCCCCCCCCCTCTTTCTCGAGTGGTGAAAAATATAATAAGACAGATAGAAAAGCGTTGTAAGAGAGAAAAGACAGGGGAGAACGAAGACGCCTGCCTGGGCCACCTCCCACCCCCCCCCCCCCGAAATTGGTATTCTTCTTCTTCAGTCAGGTGGCGCTATTTATAGAGTTTGCGGCCATCCTTCTTTGTCTGCTGTTGCGCTTGTTACCTCTGACAGCTTTTTCCCTGTCCATATTTTGATGTCTTTGAACCAGGAAATAGCAGGTCTGCCTCTTTTTCGCCTGGCTTAGACTGTTCCTGTTTTATAAAGGGACTTTCCAAGACCATCTCTCCATACTACATGGCCAAAAAACTGCAGTTTCCTTCTGGCAATACTCTTTCTGAGCAACATCTCTGTATCCAGCTTAATTGTCCAGTACCCATCGGTTTGTTCTTCTGTCTGTCCACGGAATCCTCAGTATTCGCCGGTACATCCACATTTCAAACGCATCCACTCTCGTTTCATCTCTTTTGGTATACCCTTCCAAATTCGCATTTCAAAGAGTTTCAAAGAGGCGCTCCCCCCCCCCCCCCCTCCCCCTTTACTCAATCGTTCCAGTGTACCCTCAAGCTGCGCCACTGGTTATTGTTTACCTACCAGGATAATGGAAAATATCAAGGTACAGTCAAACCTGTCTATAGCGACCGCCCAATTAAGGGAAACACAAAAAGTGGTCTTTATAGACAGGTGATCTTTGTAGATAGGTTCCTTTAGTACATGATTCAATGAGAAACCATTTTCAATGGAAACAACAAATGTGGCCTTTGTAGACAGGTGGTCACTATAGCAGGTTTGACTGTATTTCCTCCATGAGCGTTACAGACCGCATCCTCCGCTCCTCCACCACTCTCTGTTATGTCCCTTTTGCAGCCAATATCAAGTTCTGTAGAACATTGCAGGAATTATGAATATGTCATGTATGTCCTTTCTGTAAAAGTTAATTGAAACTATTAATCAGAAGATTAATAAAGTAGTGAATTTTTCAATATTTGAAAGAATGTTTGACTATAAAAAGGATATGTTTTTGAGGTATTTATTTCTTATGCTTAAATACTATATTTATTTATGCAAATTTCAAAGTAAAATACCCAATTTTCAGGGTTTCAGAACTTACATTGACTATAATAAAGATCTTGAATATCGTATTGCAAAAAAAGAAAAACAAACTGCCCTTGCACTTTAAAAAATGGAAGTTTGTTTTATAATGCTGTTTTATAATGTTGTATCGGTACGTGCATGTAGGCCTAATTGTCTGCATCTGAGTGTAAATTTACTTTTTTTGTGAGGTTTTGATCTGCGTTTTACTGCTTTTTTGTAATATTTTTATAACAACTTGTAAATATTGTAATTGTTTTTTTATTGTTCAATAAAACACATAAAAAAAGTTAAATGTTAACAGTGTCCTAGTATTCAAATTATGCAAGGAAACCCGTTTACTTTCTAGACTTCCCTGTCAGACACTATTGAGTGACTGACTGGCTTTGTTCTTCTTTGGTAATAACATACATAACATGATCTGTAAAGGGTAAATGAGCATTTGTCTACATCAATAACCCACTTCTTGTAATGGCCAAAATTAAACTGATTGAATCTTTGTGCAGCAGAAAACGTACGGCCATTCGGTACAATGGTCTGAAAATCAGACTATTACTTTAGTGATTGCAATCACTTAAGCCGATTGACAACTAATGGTCGTTATTTTCATATCTCAGGAGATCGTGAGATTTTTTTGAAAAATGACGCCGAATTGATCGCCGATTTAAAGCGCGACATTCGGCGTCGGTGTGAACTAGGCATTAAACACATTTTCAAGCCCTTTCGTTTTGAGGGAAGTTCTAAATAAGTATTGTCTTTCAATTTCGAATTTAACCTTTTCATTTTTTGGACTTGCAAATGAAACATAGTCATCATTTGTCACTCTATCCAGTGGACCCCTCTAAAAAACAGCCCTCGCGTTGATTAGGGTGTTCCATATCACAAGTGGAAAATAAATAAATAGATAAATCCACCAAACTTAATTACCTTTGCCATCTTTTCTTCACAGCCACATTCCAAAACTCTCCGACCTTTTGAGGTCTTTTGTTTTCAGAGTCTATGCCTCTGATCCATAGAGCAGCACAATATTCAACAAAGTAGTATCTGTGTTTTAATTAAGTATAAGTATTAAAAAAATATAGAAATAGAGTAATAACTTCACAAGACTTAGTAATGTACTAATACTTTTTTTATTGTATTACTTTTAAATTACCTTTAATTTACTTGCAACCATGAACCTGATATAGGTGTATTTTGACCTAATGTCTTCTTTTTCCCTTCTTGCATGTTTTCCCCCTTTTTTACTCTCTCATTCTTATTTTCTTCATTTATCATCATCTTCTTGTCATTCTGCTAGTGCTTCTGATTTGTTTTTGTCTCGTTTAATTTTTTTAATTTTTTTATTGTCTGTCATGTTTTTTTGATTGCGTAATTTTTTTCAAAATTAAGTTATAAATGTATAAAGTATAATTATTATTGTGCGAACTTACATCTAACAAGCTTTGCTTTCAAGTAGGTTCGTTTTTTTTTCTTCATTTCTTGTAATTAAATCATTTTGCATTACAATGACTTAAAAACAATGTCAAAGATATTTCAATGCTCACTTCTGATATATCATTACGTTCATTATTATCTGTTATCGTTTATATTATGTGAAAAGAAATGAAAAATAAATTCGCTCTGTATAAAGCTACTGCTACTACTACTACTACTACTACTACTACTACTACTACTACTACTACTATTGTGTACCAATGTATGTATTTTGGCCTAATGTATTTTTGTTCGTGTCTGATGATAATCCGACCTTGTGGATTTGTATTAATACAATTGAATCTGAACTTTGAATTTGAATTAGCACATTGTAAAGCTCTCTACTATGTTACCATATCAAATTGTTTATGACTATGTCATTGTTTGATGTATCACGCATAGGCCTTCTCAGGCCGGCCGTCTGATGACGGTGTGATTTTTTTTTAAATAAAGAAATAAACTTAACTAATCTGAACTATATTAAGTGGGAAAAGTGGAGCGGGGAGGAGGCGGTAATCAGATTAAGGGTGGATGAGCCAGTATAGGCCAAATAGCGGTCGAATATAGCTCCATGCTTCAGTTAGATTATAATTCTTTTATAACATTAGAAGGGAAAAGGAAGTAACAGAAAGAAAATAGATTATTACCCTTGTAAATCCCCTTCTAGATACTATTTGATTATTGACCAATTTTTCTTTTGTTTTTTTGTTACAGAACACAATCAAGATGGCGTCACTGAGAACCTTATCTGCTATTTTCATTCTATTCTGCAGTGTAATACACAGTGCAATGGCCTATAGCGTCTGTAAGTACAGTATAACACGTAACGCCCGTCGCTTAAAGCCCCTCTAAATTAATGTTGGGAGCCCCCAAAATTTCACTTGAATTGTATCATAATGTGAAAGAGGATGTCATCTAAGACATAGTTTTCTGCAAGGACTTTCAAAACACCTTCTTTCTTCTTCTTCTTCTTCTTTTTTTTTTTTGGGGGGGGGGGGACATCTTTGCAGAAGTGTGTCTTATAGATTACAATTTAAGTAAAATTTTGCCATCAAATTTGGGGTGAATTTGGGGCTCCCAACACCTTAAGAGGGGCTTTAAGATTTGTTCACTTTTCGATGTTAAAAAATGACCTACACTTTGGATGCTGTTTACTCATTTTCAATACTTCTCTATCTGCACAAACTCAATGGTTTCGACACCAACTGCATGCGGTTAGTTGTAAAGCTCTCTTGAGGAAGTTTACAGAAGATTTGTCTCGGTTTAAGACTTTTGAAAAGAATACCAGTGAATGCGATGATTATTGAGAATGAGATGGGGAATCCCCCTTTCTTTTGGAAATGATTGCGTGGGAATGAATTACGTGTCAGCACGGTACAGAATAAATATCCCGGGCAAATGCTTTTGAAAAGAATTTCAGTGAATGCGAAGATTGGTTATATATTGGGGGCCGCCATCTCTTTTACAAATATTACAATTCAAAAGTATGCAATAAATCGTTGACAAAGTCTAAAATTGTTTTCTAAACGTGTCAGCTACCAGCTAGTATAGATGTGACCCCCCCCCCCTCTCTCTCTTTATGTATTTATATGGTTTTTAGGATTGTTGACAAACACGAGTCAGTATAGGAATCGCGGCTCTTGCCCTCTTGCCGTCAACGCCCCCACCCACCCAGTGGCGGATCCAGCGGGGGGGGGGGGGGGGGCCGGGCCCCCCCCCCCCCCCCTTGAGAAAAAAAAAATCATGTAAAATCACGTGATTTTTACCTTTTTTGGGTGTTGGGCCCCCCCCCCCCTGGCGCTCAAGGGGGGGGGGGGGGTGCAAATTGAAATTTTTTGAGGATCAAAAAAAAAAAAAGGTGCTCACTTCCCCTCCCCCCCTCCCCCCCCCCCCCCCCCCCCCCCCCCCCCCCCCCCCCCCCCCCCCCACTGAGCGAATTTTTGGCCGGTGCGTTTTTCAAATTTTCGGGAGCAAAAAAAAAAAAAAGTTGGGCCCCCTCCCCTAAGAAATCCTGGATCCGCGCCTGCACCCACCCTCCACTCTTGTTCTGCCCGTGACTCGATCACTAGGGACTTTTAGATTTGCACGTCGACATAGTGGACTGCAGGCCTGGTGGACTGCTACGCGTGACGTTCTTTCAAGAAAATGTGGCGTCTTTTAAAGGCACTGTCAGTGCCTTATAAGGACGTCACACGTATCAGTCCACTATGTCGACATGCAAAATAAAAGTCCCTACTGTTATTCACTAGTTGGTGCTAGCATCGAGTCCTCTGCCTGTCAAGTGCATGGACATTAGGTGATGTGGGCAAGTTGACCATGAGCTGGCGCTGTGCTTTATAGCAAGGGACATAACAGAGCCATTTATAGATGGCTCTGGGTATAGTAGTAACAGAACCGTCTTTACACAAAAAAATGGCTCTGGATATAGTAACAGTGTCGTATATACTGGATAGTAAGCTATAGATAGTTCATCAGTTCAGTATCGCTTTTTTAATAATCCTATATTTCTTTGTTTCGTTTTCGCAGACTATGGTTCTTGGTACCTCTACGTTTGGATACCGCTCGTGATCATCGCAATTATCCGATGCTGCTGCTATTATAACCAAAAGAAAGAACGCGAAGCACAAACGGTCTATGTGGATCAGGGCGGTCGACCCACCGGTCAGGCACAGACGGTTATCAGCACCCAAATGACGGCAGGCTCGACCGTGATCAATCCTCCCCAGTATCAACCCGCTCTGCACTACGGGCAGCCTCAAGGCGCCGTTATCAATTCGGCCTACACACCAGATCCTGCAGGTACCGCCTACCCGCCCAATGCACCGGGACTGCCCTATCCGCCCAGTTCACCGAGGCAACCGGGTACCGCGTACCCACCTCCCCCTCAGTACAGTGAAGCGGTTAAACTCCCCGAACCTCTTTAGTCACTTAAGAAGAAGATATTGATTAAATCTACATCCAGTTAGATGTTTATCATTTCGTGAGCGTGAAATCAACTCGAAACACATATAATTACAGCTGCACAAATCCACATTATTTTGTTACTCGTGCTCAGAAGTGGCGGATCAGAATTCGGGAATGGGGGGGGGGGGGGGGGGGGGGGGGGGAGGAACGCCAGTCTGACAATTTTGTGAAAAAAGACTTCTCCTATACAAAGTTTAAAAATAGCAAAAGGCTATCAGCCCATGACCAGAAATTTTCTATCCCCCCTCCCCCCCCCCTTTGTTCGCTGTGGGGGGGGGGGGGGGGTACCTCCCCTTGATTCGCCTTTGCGCATCCAACATTAAATGCACAAGGTGCCTACAAGGTGTTATGGTTGCCCAAGTTTCAACTTAAACTCTAATGCACTGAAGGTCTTGGATGTTATGTTCAATACTTCAATAAAGAAAAAAAGAGCCTTTAATATGAAATGACGTGGTACACGGCCGCCCAAAAATAGGCAAACCGCTGCATTATTTGTTTAATGTTTAAATGAATGACTTTGACGTGTATTCACCGAGCTCTGTGTTTAAGATACCTACGGCATGATAAAACGTCATTATCCACACGAGGGTTTAGTCGCGTGTGTTTGTGTTTACTCAGTAAAATGATGCATTTCATATAATTATTCTCTATCTTAGGCGTGATACTTTGCAGAACATAAGTGAAAGATTGTTGGCTCCTACTTTTGGCCTTCGATTCTAAAATAACAAAGAACACTCTTCAATATGACATGTCTGCTTCATAATGATGCGTAGTGTAATAGTTATTCACATTATGACTTTAAGTGTGTAAAATAAAATAATGTGACTATATCCACGTAAATAATATGAAATCGTATTTTTGTACTGTATATTTTCGGAATTTTTTGTTGTTCCGGTAATTTCGAAAATTTTCTTCAGGGGTTAATAGATATTGCAGTCTTCCATACTCCATTTTTTTTTTAAAGAGGAAGTGCACCCTCGATGATATCAAATTCGTTTTTGATAAAAGCAGAAAACTGAGAGAAACAAATTAGTGAAAGTTTAAACAAAATCCGATTAAAAGCAGGACAGTTATGAATTTTTAAGTTGTCATCAGTGGAACACAAATTGGCAACACTGTGTCGTATCTTGCAAGCTCCTCCCCATTTTTCTCTGTACATACAATTTCATAGTTATTAATGACGGGATAGACCTGTTTTATACAGGGTTGTATACAAACACATTTGACATAATTATATCTAGGGTGAATGTATGTAACTTTCTCAAGAGAAAATATAATTAAAAAAAAAAAAGTTTTTTGGCAATAGTACAGGGCGAAAGGTAGGGGACCTCCCAAGATATACATTACATAATTGTCAATTTGTGTTAGATCGATCGCAACTTCAAAAGTTCATAATTTTTTTTCTTTCTAATCGGATTTCACTCGAACCGTAACTGAACTGAACCAACGTAATGATCAAGGTGCACGCCCCCCCCCCCCCCGATTATAATTATTATCACGAATTTTCTCTGACATTAGCTATAATTATCCTTTCTTTTCTTAAAAATGTAATTAAATGCAAGTTAGTTTAGTTTACATACACTTTGAGGCTGTGCATTATATTCGTATGTTCATTTTCACCCAAAATTATATTTCGGTACTGTTTTTGTAATATGTTCGGATTTTTTCCCGACCTTGCTTTATATTTAAACTTGGCTTTATTATTCACTAAGTGAAACAACATTTTTAAAGCATGAAATTATTTTTCTAAAACGGAATGAAGCCATGATCTTGTTTGTATATAATCATCTTTGATAAAGCTTCCAATGAGAAAAATGACACTAGTTTGTTTTCATTTTTTTCGTTTGTTTGTTTGATTGGATTTGTATTTTTTGCTTTTGATGTTTTATTTAACCTGCGATGTGCGTTACTTCCTTTAGCCATGTTAACAAAACAATCAACGTCCATAATCATGATACCATATTGAATTGTGAAAAAGAAAAGGAAAAACAGATCGGATTATGCGACTATCGCAAGTTTGTTTGAACGAAATTGGATAACCGACAAGTTCACAAGCTCAAATACATGTTATATTTTGTTGGATCCAACCTTCGTATAAAGTTGAATGGAGTGAGAACAAAAATCACAGAAAGTAAGGTGACTGTCGCAGACTGGCGAATGCTTGAATCGGATAAGCACCTAAAGCAATTAAGTATGATATATGGTAATGGTATGGCATATCCGGACACCCACCCCTTGGACAACCACCCCTAGGACAACAACACCCTAGGAAAACTAATCCCCAGACAACTACCCCTAGGATAGTTGTCCTAAAGGATGGTTGTCGTAGGGGGTAGTTGTCCTGGGGGTATATGTCCTAGGGAGCAGGCACGTAGCCACAAGGAGGGGGGGGGGGAGAGGTGCCCCCCCCCCCCAAAAAAAAAAATCCAAGATCGGTTGAACTTTTTTAGACCCCCCTTTTTTTTTTACCTCGATCGATTACATGTATGTGCCCCCCCCCCCCCCCCCAAAAAAAAAAAACTCCATCAAACTCTGGCTATACGTGCCTGCTAGGGAGTAGTTGTCTCGGAGTAGTTGTCTTTAGGGGGTGGTTATCCAGTGGGTGGTTGTCCAGGGGGTAGGTCATGGTAGCCAGATGGCCGAATTGCAGAATTTGGTATATTGCGTAAAAACATAAATAATTCTACAAACGTAAATAAACTACAGTACAATTATCCAGCAAATTGTATAAAGAGATAACACACAGTGATTGAATTTTGTTTAAAAAAATGAATCAGTTTAATATACACCTACATAATCAATGAATAAAGTTTGGTTAACAGGTAAGCAGGGAATAATATGCTTAAATCTATTCCACAATCATAGAGGAAAAGATCGTTCGAAACAAGGAGAAAAAAGGGCTGGAGGGAAGTGAAAAGGAGAGGCATAGAGACTAGAGAGGGAAAATACAGACAGCACAGGTCCTAACCAGGAACAGTATAAGAGAGAGACAGAGGTTGAGAAAGGGAGAGAAAGAGAGAGAGAGAGAGAGATATGAGAAAATGCTGAGGATGATACATAACGGATATATGGAAAATAAGTCTCAAAGTTATCAAAGTTTGAAAGCTGACATCGTTACATTTTGTGAATCTCAAATCGGTGAATGTTGATCATTGCAAACTTAAATAGCAAAACGTTTCCTATTAATTGTTGTACATAAAATATCACAAATGGTTTCACAAACGGTTTCACAGATACATTCACCAGTTACAGTGTTACTTGTCCCTCGGGGATTGTACAACCGGGAGGGTAAGGGATTCTCAGCCTATTTGGGAATACGGGAATATCTATCTAAGTGGGTCGCTTTTTTGCACACAAAAAAAGAAGAAAAACAAATCAGATATGATTTTGTGTTAAGAAACCCTAAAAATTGCCCCACTTTTAGATCTTAGCCTTATTCATTTGATATTATGAGCCGCGCACTCCCCCCCCCCCCCCCCCCAATTGTATTTTTCAATATGCCCCCAAGCTGTACAGGAGGAGGGCACCAGCTCGGCAGTCGTATACGTCTGTTCATGTAGTACATCAAGCCCGATGCCCCCATGCACACTCAGTATCCCCGCAATGAACCAACAGTCTCAACTAATAAAATTAAAGTTCTTGCTTGCTTGGTACCTCTTCAGGAAAGTTCGTTGTGTGCAGAAGTAAATGTGAGGTTTTTCAAAGTGCAATATTCAATGTTCAATGTTCAACAATGATTACGTTCTCAATACCAAATGCTTTTAAAATTTACCAATAGAGGGCGCAATTAATTTTGTCATACGCTTACGGTGAGTAATCAATTTTTTTTTTTTTAATTTGACGCTGTCGTATAAAGGTAATAATGAGATGGCGTGCTTTCGTTTTGGGCGAGCATGCACAAACGGGTCCAATACCTAGTTTACCGTCGCCCAAAACGAAAGCACATATACTACATCAGTCACGCCAACACCAGACCGACTACAGGCTGACACCAGACCGAAAAAAACAATCACGAATGGCCAAAAATTGGTCGGTTTGGATTCCGTGTGTAGTGGGCTCGGCAGTGTGTCCGAATTTTAAGCACATTTTTTGACAAAAGGTTCACATAACTAAATAGATTGCCAGAGGCTTTCTGATAAAGCAACAACTAATGTAAATAAACTGTATTCCATCCACAGGGATTCTATTATTCGTTGCAGGTGAATGAAATGGTATTCATGATATGGAGCGACATACAAATTAACAGAACTTTTCCAAAAATGTTCTTAACACTTTCCGAAAGAGGACGCGGTGATTGTTTTGTCAGACGGTGAGTGAGCAGATCTTTTCCGGAAGCTGTCGTATAAAAGCATGTCAAGGTTTACTTTGCGACCATGTTTATTTAAAGGAAGGGGTAGCGGTAGGACTGGTCACGGCTTTATTGAAGATAAGTGACGTCAATTTTTCTCTTGCCATTTTTTCTTCTGATTCTGCATTTGGTTGGAGCTTGAAATCACTCAAAGCATGCTCGTTCAGGGGAGGGATTATGCTTCTTGATGGTGTGTACTGCGAGGGGGTTGAGGTCCTAGCAGAGTCAATATCTGAAACTGTTGTCTTCCGTCGTTTAGATGGATAAGGAAGGTTCTCAGAAGGTGAGGTCTCTACAACCTGACCTGCATGTATAACGCTACGGAGATTGGCAGAGCCAATTTTTCATCATCTAGAAGGGAGGCATTCCGATCTCTCCAGACTTGGCACACTTCAAAGTTTGGACATTGGCTATCTCCTATGAGGTTTGTAGTACTACTTGCCAACTTGTTGTATAGTAGGATATCAAACCCGGTGGCATCCTGTAACAGCTGAAGCGGTTCCACACCTAGAAAACAGGTTCCAAATTCCTTGTACCTGTACAAGAATCGGCCTTTGCTTCCCAGGCGAAAAATCTGGACTGGACACTTTGCCGCGATTGCCACAGCAGATGCCTCTACTTCTGCAGGTGTGGTACTTTCTTTCTTCAGAAACTCAACACGAGCAGTCATGTCCAGGCACTCCATTGGGAGGAGCCCACCGACTTCATCCATAAAGGCATCAAGCTTGTTGTCTGAGATGATATTGACGAGCTCCACTTTGTAACATTGACTAAGGACCATCTCCAGTTCTTCGTCGAAGGTGGATGTCGGAACTCCATTACTGTCTCGTTGGCAATTACGTAACGTAGGATCATTCCTACATGCGAGCACCTTGTCCAAATTCTTGTAGTCGTGCGGCAGCTTGATAGCCTTCAAAGTGCCACAATCTTGAGGACTTGCGGAGGGCTGCAAGAAACATAATATCTCCAAAATCAACATTTTGGGTTGGCTGAGGGAAAATTTGGTAGCTCGTCCCGTGAACGCTCCTAGGTTTGCCATCTGCAGATACAACTGCACGTGGAGATCCCTTGTCTACATTGTCCACAGATGCAGAAGCAAATGCAGATGCATCACGCTTCCTCCGCGTGGTAGGTAAGTCTGTCATTATAGCAGCATTCTTATGGGCATCAAGTGTTGTCCTTGACGATGCTATTCCCAACCTAATTGGGCAGCTTTAGACAAAACATGGTTGCTTGAAGTACTCTCAGGATCCATCTTCTCTGGCACGGATGATGTTGATGTTGCTTCCGCTGTCTTATTAGTCAATTGTTCGTACAAGACAGTATGAAGCATGGATGTAACATCAGAGCCTTTCCACATCACCATGGTTCCCTGTAACTTAATTCTGGATGTCACACATATCAGATGATGACCATATGCTACAATAAGGTCAAGCATCATCGACTGGTTTGTCTTCGAATTTGGCCCAAGTTCTTGTGTCCGACATTCACTTTCAGTTTCTTGCCAGTATTGATGGTACTTCTTCTGGATTTCTTTCAGCAAAACTGCTCTGTTATTCAGGAACTTTCGACCAGTGAATACAACAGCTTTAGCTGATGCATAGGTGTCCAAGTCCTCATCCTTTGTGGTTTCTGCCATCTCTTCGTAAGAAGTGACAATTTCCTTTAGATCTTGATCCGTTGAGGCAGTCTTCAGTTTCTGGTGACGAAAAATCTCTCGCCTACACTGATTGTAGCATACAGCACATACAACACTCTTGTCCATCAGAGAGGAATGAATTCCAATTTCTTTATTTAAGTCATTTATGACATCTGGCTTTGGACACTTTCTTTTCCTTCCGCGGATCAAATGTTGGCATTTGCTACACCTTACTTTCCTGGAGTCAATCAGCTTCCTGTAATGGCCTTGACACAGCGAAAGTGAAGATGGGACCTCTGTTTGAGTCGCTTCCTGGAGATTAAATGTCGCGACAACTCGAGACCACTCTTCTTGCGTTTCTGTGCAGCTATCTTCGTCGCAAAGTTGATACCTCGAAAGAAAGCAGGGAGGACGCTGCTTCTTCCTTGATTTCTTGATATGTCCCTTCATACTCTGCCGAATTTCAATACGACATCTGTTACATAGGCAGCAATCACTACCGAGACCAAAGTCTTTCAGAAGAGTGTCTTTATCATTCTCCTCCCAGTTCACAATATGAACAAAAGATGTAAGCTCAACCTCTGCCTTTTTGCCACAGTATGTACATTCAGTACATTTCCTGCACGGATGGGCGATTCGAGCAAGCGAATGACGCCCCATGATGTCATCAGCCTGAACTCCTACACACAAGTAAAAATAAAACTATCTTCTTGGTATGAATAACAAATCATGCGGATAATAACCTCAAAGGGATAGGGTATCTTTGCTATTTATGATTCAGTTTTACACCACTTTCGGATTCCTTCACCATAAAATCACCATCCAAACTGAAGAACACTGGTAGCCAATGCTGACATAAAGGGAGTGCCATTCTGCAATAAAATAGAAGAACAAACAATAATGAAATGAAATCCAAATATATTTTAAGGCAAATAAAGAAAAAAAGGGAAACTGAACAGGATTTATTTTTCACATTCATGTGACTACATTATTATCAGCTCTAACATTAGACTGCATAACTTACTGAAATTAATCTAACACAGACATTAATAAAGTATTATATGATCAAGACCCAGATTACAGAAAGAACTTCAAAAATGACCTCAAATGGATCTCACACAGTTAGGCATCATAAATGATAATTGGGTCAAATTTGATAGATGCATGACAAACTTCAAGACAGTGTGTCTTTCAGCAGTGGCGCAATGAGCCGATTTTCAGGGGGGGGGGGGGTAATTGAGTTGAAGTGTTGGATACGGTGCATGATTACTTGACAACAACAAAAATTAACATTTTTGAATTTTTGAATAAATGATTCTGTTACAGATTTGGTAGGTAATTTTATATTAATTTCTCTAATTAAAAGAAAAAATAGGTTACCACCAGAATGACCTTCGAAAGGAGGTGCAATATTTGAGGAAATTATTGCAAATCATGATATTGAAAAATGCAATACAATAATGAGGATTTAACTCCAAAAGTGCCTTTTTCGTGAAAAATTGGGGTTGTTTCAATGTTCAATGAGGTCAAGTTCAGCAATAACAGAAGCACTTAGCAATAGCAAAATATTAAAGGTGTAGACCAGTTTTAGAAACGCCCCCCTCTAAAAATATAAAATGGAAGCTCTTATTACTAACCATGTGAAAGAAAATGTTTTGACTAATACGTGATGATACAAATTTTGCAGGGAAACTGCCTACTGATTGATATATTTGGTAAATTATCATATCGATCTGGCCTGGATAGATATCATGAATGCACTTCAACATTGAACATTTGGGCATATATTTCTGTTTTTTTGCGAATTTAGTTTGAAGTATTGCCATCTAAACCTCTGAAGGTAATATTTAAACAATATTGCACCCAAAACCCTTAAACCGCAATTTTACCACTACTGGTCTTTATCTTTAAGATCTAAAAATGATTGTTTCCACGTTCATCAGATTGAACGTAAAATTACTTTAGGAATATAAGATCTAAAGCTCCTGATGACTTACATCTTACATGTTTAATAAAACAAGTCTCTCCTTCATTTTGATAGTTGGACACTGGATTGAAAAAAAGTAGTGTCACCAGGTATTGTTAGAGAAATTTTTTTTCAAAAAGATTTGACATCACCAAGGAACATTGCCTTTACTTTTATAGTGGTGATGAAAAATATGCCTACAACACATAAGGCCTAAAATAAAAACTTGTTTTATTGCCCTTTGCGACCGACCCAAAAATCTGAAAATCTACGGTCGGCATTTAAAAAAAAAAAAAAAAATTAAATTAATTAATAAAATAACATGTATTTTGTATGATTAAATGGGATATAAATGCATAAAATCAAATTATTCCAAAATTCTCACTCGTGCAAACCATGGATAATTATGAGATGAAAAAGATATCAATGGAATGATCACGATGTATTAAAGCACTAAAAAAACAGAAATATCAGCCAAAAGAGGGCGGGGAAAACAGAAGAAAAAGACAACAATAAAATTCAAATCTGAAAAATGTCAGCCCAAAGAGGGAGACAAAAAAAAAGTTAAAAAAAAAAAATATATTTCCAACCGACCAACCCATGTTTTGGCACCTAAAGGGCAATACAACATCTTTTTTTTTGTAGACCTAACAGTACATCGTACCTAGTGACATGGAGAACAATCTGCTTGCGCACTAAGGTTGGTGAACACTCCACAGAGCCGCGGTGGGATGTAAAATCTGTGATCGCTCTGAAGACTGACCCGACAGCTTCAGTACTGAATGACAGAAAGGACAAATATTTCAAGCAATTATTGAGAATTACATGTATGGATACATGCAAGTGTTGATCAAGTCATGAGTGATATACCTTCTATAACTTTGATTTCAGAGAGTCTAACAAAATATTAGATCAACATATTTAATATTGTTTCTGACAAAATGAATAGGAAATACAAATTAAAATGTATGACAGGACAAGAGAACTAGTAGTACAGTTACCTAGTTAAACAAAATTGCTGATTCAGCTTTGTCTCTGAGTTGACACAATTGTGATCTATTGCAAATCTTTGGCAGGAGAAATTTTCTCAAATGCAAAAGAAACAAAAGGAGAAGCCTTTTCAGCTTTCTTTGTAGTATACTACAAATTTCATGTCTGAAGTGTGGTTTTTACACAAAGCGGGACGTTTGGCTTGAGAAGTTTGCACAATGCGGGGGATTTTTATTATGCCCAGCTTGAGGGCGGGAGGAAGGGCATGGTAGCGGGAGTCTCCATCCACGACAAAGTTGGAACGGCGGGAGAGTCGATGCCATGACGTGAGACTCCCACCAAGTAAGGGAGGGTTAAGGGAGGGTTGACAGCCTGTCTTAACATAGTACTTTGGTAGACTAAGTAATAGAAAAGAAACAATTTTGTATTCAAGAATTTCCACATGAAATATATACGTCCTTGCATAAATTACCAAAGCACAAGGTCACATCAAGTTAGACTGGCCACACTCGGCTTGGCAGTTGCCGCCATGCAGCGTCGGCCGTTCTTCGATGCTCGAGCAATATGTATGATAGGAGTTAAGACAGCTGCCAAGTAGGTTGAGAAGTGGAGCTGGAGGTTAATTCAGATGAGCACAAGGCAACACGAAGGTTCTATGGCCCTGTGCCTACCTAAAAAGTGAAGAATGAAAATTTAAAAATTGTTTTGGATTTAAAGTGAAAGCAGGCACACTGTAGATCGAGTACTAAAACTACCATGCCTATGGCATTTTCATTGATAAAGTTTAACTTCAGTAGGAATTAAGATGAGGTGTCGTCTATTACTACAGCTGCACACCTGTCCACGTCACGAGGATCTAGATATATACATATGCACTTGACTTGACTCTCGGCAATGTCTAGACCGATCGTTTCTGTCTTTTTCATTCGTTCGCCTCTGATTTGGTTAGGGTCGGCTCCTCTCCCTTCCCAAATCAGAGGCGAGCCGCGAACGAACAAAAAAGACAGAAGTGATCGGTCTACACATTGCCGAGACTTGTGAATCATTGCTGTGTAACCTCACTCACTGCATGTATGCAAGACAAACAGAACTTTGTTTGTTAGTCCTGGCTCATTTTACCTGATTGAGGTGTCGTATAAACATGATAAATATAATTAAAAGGGCAGAAAATGAATTTTCTAAAAAATGTGATTTTCTCTTTGTAAGTCAGATAAGAGTCTATGGTCTTTCTTTTTGGTACCCTCTCTTCAAATTGTTTTTATTCACTCATCATGCTCATGCGTGAAATATGCATCATTATCATACGAGTTGTATCAAATTAGGAATCAGTCTGAGTCAGACTCAGAGCACTCCAGCAAAGCATAGAGAGTCAATGCTAATCGGATTGACCTCGATCTAGCACTGCATGCTTGCTGTGAGGCGGATATTATTAGACCTATACACAAATATACACACCACACAATATTGCGTAGACTCTACACAATCATGTCGATGCAGCTGTAAGCAAAGTTTGACACTGGACTTACAATTTGAATTTTTAAATTATTCTTTTTAACATCAGTAAGTTAAAAAAAATGTATTTTACTGCTATTACTATTAGGTGTCATTAATTGTCACTAAAGTACCGATTTTTAGTGAAATCATTTGAGTTTTGTACAGTGGTGTTTGAAATGTTGAGAATCAAAAGCACAGCTTTTACTACACAGCCAGGATCGATAGTGATGCTCTATGTGCGACTCAGAGTACTGTCAGCAGGTCAGAGAATCTAGCTTTACAATAATACAAATAACGACTTTTAACGTTGGTGAAGTAGGCCTAGATCTAGGGTCTACAGTTAACCCTGAGTATACCGACACAACCGAAAGAGAAATGTATCATTCATTAATTATAATAATTGTGATTAAGTTATGATGAAACATCGATAATTCTCGGTTTCGTTTTTCTGGGACACTAACTGCTAACAAAGTAACAGCTAGCAAGCAGCCAGGCATTTAACTCCAGGGAGCTCCCCGTGCCCTCGGGGCGGAGCTCCCTGGAGTTACCAGGGCCATATGAATTGCAAATTCGACGCAGAATTGCCAGTTTTTTTTTAGCAAAACGAAAACCTATTTTTCATGACAGTGCGTGGAAAATGAATATCAAAAATCAAGTTATGGAAACAATTTGCTTAATGTAATGTGAAAATGCGCCTCACCTTTCTTTAGAAGATTTTACAGAGATTCACTCGGCCTCGGTATAGATCTACATCGAAAACAGGCAGCGTTTCAAAACATACCGGTACCGCGGTACGCGGTACGTTCACAGCTAGCCCGTTGAAACACGTGTGATTGTTATTGTAGTCGATGATTCTGCCAGGCTTTGGTGTGAGAGGGCGTCCTGCTCTCTCTCTTCTGCAGCTCTACGCTTTTGCCCAGTTTAGTTGTATGATTCACAAATTTTCTGAATATTTTATATTCATAATTATTGATTCTCATATAAATAATTTATCAAAATTCACCTTTTCCATGATTTAACTGAAAAAATATCTCTATATTAGTGCATCTACACAAAAACATATTATTATCAATATAACTTGGATGCTGGTGTGAGGAAATAATATTCTTAGGGGCAAATGAGAAATTTATATTATCAATATAAATCAATATTATCAATATTATCATAGTGAGGCAATGACGTCACAGACTCATGAGTGAGTTGCCAATTTGTCTTGTCACGGTGATTTTCAAAGTTTGTCATGTCATTAAAAATTTATAACTTTGTCTTTCTTTTTATAGTTATCTGATTTTGCTCAAACTTTTTTTTACATTGGTTTGTCTGATTTTTCTGCTTTTATTATAAGTAAGTTATTTTTGGAGTTGACTTTGCCTTTAATCGGCTGCCTTATTTTATTTTATTTTATTCAAACTTCGTATATAGACTTTATGTCCATCATCTCTATGATGCCTTACTGAGCCGACCTGTACTATAGTGTACAGGATGGATTAGTCCACCCTGTAAGGACAGGTGGTCATCTCATCAAATCAGCTATCATAATTAACGTAAGAAAAAGAGGATCATGGGGGACCAATGGTCACCGATTAGGCAGTGTTTGTTATATAGAGGGCGCAAGTAGCTATTAAGTAGGCCTAGAGCAGTGGGCCTTAAGTAAAGGCATGGAAGGCACAAGAATAAGAACGCCACAAACATGCTCTTTTCCCCTTACAATTCGTTATTTCTTGCAGTATAGGCCTACCTTTTATATAAAGGCTGAAATGATTGAGCTGTTTTCTTTTTTTCCAAGTAGTTTTTTTAGGTTAGGATTCGTCACATTGAGTCAGCGATACGATTCCTCTGTCTTTCATATATATTTAGGGCATGATAACATTAATGTTCAAACGTTTCAAAAATATGACAATTGTCGCAAAGGCCAATATCATGCCTTTTCATTGAGTAATTGTAATAAATTAAGTCTACACTTGCCAAGGCGGAATTGGTGTAAATTCTTTCATCCTTCCAAACAAAAAAACCTTTTATCATATTACACGTATGTTTTACTGTTATAGAGATATCTGCCTTTCTCGGCAGTTGCCCATAATTTCTGCCACACAATTTTATAAAAATCATCCATATCCCTCAAAGATTCTTGTCTGTTTTTATTGACAAAATATTGTTTTTTGAAGCCGCTTGTCAATTAGTTAGAGCATATGCCTCCTCATTGCCTGCTAGGCCACAATGTGCTTGAACCCATTCGAAAATTACTTCTATTCCAAATAGATTAATTGCCATAAATATTGTTCATAATATATCTCGACTATATTTCTCAATTACTTACTTACTTACTGCCCATTATGCCTCCTGGCACATAGGGCAGCAACAAAAGTCTTCCACTCCTTGCGATCCTGGGCCAGTCTTTGGATGGTATCCCATGTGTGGTTCAGGTCTTTAATCTCTCCTTCCACAGTTCTTCGCCAAGTGGTTTTAGGACGTCCTCAATGCTTCTATTTAAAGCCGACTTAGAATCAAATAAAATTACTACAGCTTTTGGGAAATGCTCCTCCACCCATTCTTAAGCCAATAGATCGCTGCTTGTTCAGCCCTTGCAATATTAACTTATTTTCAGTTTCGGGATATAAAAAGCTAAACCTGTACTTCAACCTATAGAAGCATCTGTATAGATTCTAAGAAAATGTAACCATTTCTTTGATACTTGGTTGGCATATATTCTTGATTCTGTTGTAGATGAAAATCTCTTACTAACTTATATGATCTTTAATAACCGTAGAAACATTTGGTTTTTATATTGCCAAAAGGGTCTTCTTAGAACACAGTCCACTTGTTTTTCGATTTCATTATCTATTTATTTCCTGTAGTTCTCTTTATAAAAGGGCATTCGCCTTTTTTCCCTGAAAATATTTCGTATTGCCAACATGGCACTAATATTCGTTTCGTGGAAGGTGTTTCTTTTGCAGCCCGTAAGTAGAAATTGTATTTATCTACAACATGCTCAAGTTCTTCGTAGTTGTAAGGGAAATTCATTGTATTCCACTTGTAGAGCTTTCAAAGATGTGCGATGTGCAGCACCTGTGCTAATTTTAAGAGCTTGGAATATGGTATCGAATCCAGTTTCTTTTTCAGATTGTCACTAGCTCCATCATATACCTCACAACCGTAGTCCAATACTGATCGGATTAGACCTTTATTATACTAATTATAAAATATCGGATTTCTGGCCCCAATTGGTGCCCGCTGGGTATTTTAGAAGGTTAAGTTTTTTTTACATGTGCTTTGACCAAGTTAGTTTGGAGTCATATCATATTTCTAAAAACGTATGTTCTTTACGTGGTGGGATTATTTCCTCATATTATATTCTAGATTCTGCAAGACTCTTGGGGATACTCTTGTAGTGTATAATGTTTGCTTGCTCGTCTACGATTTTGGACCCATTATTGATTAGAATCAGTGAAAAATGCTAATGAAATTATGAAAAGTAAACAGCAAAAAATTCGCAGGAATTTGGTCATTAATAGTTAACAAGGTACACGACCCTCCCATTAAGTTCTTTAAATATAAACATTAGTTTTAATCCATTGGTTCCCCCATCACACCCGCACCCCCCCCCCCCTTATCAAAATAAAACAATAATATCTGGTGCCATCATCTGATGACGACTGATGTCAGCTACCCCATCCATTTTTGTTTTAACATACCACCATTACCGCCTTCCATGAAGCTCCGGCGATATACATTAACTATATAGGACCCCAAACATGTGCATCCTTGGGACCCAACTCTGTTTCAATTTCCCGCCCGACTTGATATGGCTCGTTCCCACAAACTCTCCGGCAAGTGGCATCAGTCATACAGAACGGCCAAAAAAACCCACAAGATGGAGAGAGAGAGAAAAAGAGAGAGAGAGGGAGAGAGAAGAGAGAAAGAGAGAGAGAGAGAGAGAAAGAGAGAGAGAGAAAGAGAGAGAAAGAGAGAGAGGAGAGAAAGAGAGAGAGAGAAAGAGAGAGAAAGAGAGAGGAGAGAGAAAGAGAGAGAGAGAGAGGAGAGAGAAAGAGAGAGAGAGAAGACAGAGAGAGAGAGAGGAGAGAGAAAGAGAGAGAGAGAGAGGAGAGAGAAAGAGAGAGAGAGATGACAGAGAGAGAGAGAGGAGAGAGAAAGAGAGAGAGAGATGACAGAGAGAGAGAGAGAGAGAGAAAGAGAGAGAGAGGAGAGAGAAAGAGAGAGAGAGATGACAGAGAGAGAGAGAGAGAATGACAGAGCGAGAGAAAAGGAAAGAAATATAATATAAATATAATAGGGAGAGACAGAGAGGGGGGAGGGGCAGAGAGATAATGGAGCAGGGTTTTTAAGGAGAGAGGAGGGAGGGTGTATAAGGAAGACAGTAAGAGAGTTGGAATGTCAAGTCTGACAGAAAATGAGCGTTATACAAAAACTCACCATTATTATCATTATTATTATTTTAATTTGTAATCAATGAGTGTGTGAACAGATTGTCCTTCCGCTGGTACCGGTGAACGTGACCCTACATTATTGGACGTATGCTGGTCCAAGTCGAAAGCTTAGCTCTCTACCTACGTCAGGAAATTTGCAACGATCATCATAGTAATAAAAATAAATCAAACGGCGGGAATAGATTCTTTGATATGTAACATTTTTCCTTCCAAAACAATATCGAGCCCTTTCAAAATATAGGCTGTATTATGGCTCAAGTCACTAACGAAAATGTAACCCGAATTAAGAACGCAAACTATATGAAACATGATTTAGTAAAAAAATTCTTCATGTCACTAATCGTATTTTATATTAGAACATGTGTATCTGTAGTACTCGTTATCAACTACATGTTTTCAATTTCCTCTTCGACCAAGCAAGTACAACTTCGATTCTACAAGAAATTAAAGAATGTATAACTTTTTCCTCGTTTTGTTCGATACATAATCATATATATTGAAACATACACTATATAATTATATAGACTCATCTCCCTTTCCCGGCTACATTGTTCTGCGGTACAAGGAAATATTGGACGAAACAAACAAAAGCGAAGCAACAATGAGAAGGTCATTTCCGAGACTGAGATAATGGAATTTCCTGTCATATATTCCTGGTTCACTGTTATTAACTTCCATTATCACAGCTATTGGAATAGTAAAGACCGGACATGATAGGGTATGTATATTATGTGTAAAATAGTGTATAAAGGAATAGTCTGTGTATCGTGTATGGTTGTGTGTTGTGAATAGAATGCAACGTATACCGCGAACGGTTCATTACGTGTCTGCGTGTGTTTCGGAACGACCGTTCTGCGCATTTCAGTACAGCAGAAACGGGTCATTCCAATCGTAGAATTTGCGTTTCTCGACCGTTTCACGACTCCATTTCTGTTCCATAAGCAAGCCTGATAACTCACGATGGCTGAAGTGGAATTTTCGGAGGAGATTCGCGACCGAATTCTCTACCACTGGTCGGAATTGGGTGACCGGCCGAAAATCATTTGGACACGGTTGCAGGAAGAAGGTTTCAATGTTGATTTTAATACCGTGCAGGCGCTAATGCGATGCGAAGACGAAGAGGCGACCGGGAGTGGAACGATAGCGGAACACGAGAATGAGGAGAGCCGGAACGACGGGGCTAGCGTTTCGCCATACCCCGAAGGGAATTCTCCCGCCTCTACGGAATCGCCTGCGAGCGTTCGACCCCACTCACGACGTGGAAAAAACAGAGAGGGTAAAATAGTCGTCCCTCAAAACAGACGTACCAAGTTAACACCAGACGTGCTCAATTTAATCGAGAAAATCCTCGACACCGATGGAAATATTTACTCCCTCGCAGCTCTCCAAGCGGCTTTACTTATCAAGGGCGTTAAGATATCGAAAACGACGACTTTCAGGGCGCTTGAAAAATTAGGTAGGAGCATTGTTGTGAAGAAGATGAACTTCGCTAACAGAGTCGACATGGCCCCCGTACCGGAGAGTCTGCGAAAGAACACCCCGGCCTCGAAGAACACCCATTTCGCTCCTAACTTTGGAGCGCGCAGTACTACTTTTACACCAGATGGCAAACGTAGACACCACACGTTAACTATACGCGAGATGGAATCGCTCGAATCGCAGTCCCATGACAAAAAAGACCACCGTGAACTCGTTCCGATGACCACGGCGCCTGTGTCGACGTCCACTTCGACCAGCGTTTCGACAGCCACGGGAGCTGGGGCTCGAATTGAGACAGGGTCAGCGGGACCGGTGCTGGTTTTGCCCCCGAAGAAGGCGGCGACTGCGTCTTCATCGACGTTGAAGTTGGTGCTCGGCCACGGAGGGATGACGTCGTACACGTCGGCGCCTCTCGACGAGGAATCCATAGATGGCCACGATGGTGAGGAGGGAGCGAATAAACCCGACAAGATGGAAACCCAGGTGAGAATTTTGTTTGGAATGCAATGATGTCGATGATGATGATGATGACGATGATGATGATGATTATGATGATGGTGATGGTGATGATGATGATGATGGTGATGATGATGAAGGTGATGATGATGAAGGTGATGATGATGATGATGATGATAATTGTGGCGGTGGTGGTGATGATGTTGATGATAGTAATGCTAAGTATAACGACACCAACAACAGGAGTGTTTGATAATAATAATAATAATAATAATAATAATAATGATACAATTGCAGTAATAATGATAATGATGATGATAATAATAATAATAATGATATAATCAATACTACAATAATGATAGTAATAATAATAATAGATAAATTAATAGTCCTAATAATGATTATGGTGATGTTGATAATAACGATGATGAAAAGTATAATACATGTATTTTTTATATTATAAGAGTAATAATGATAGTAGTAATGATGATGATGAAAACAATATTATGTCATCATCTTGTATAAAGAGGGACACAACTTGTATCTGATGTTGTAATTGTATTTCTTATTTAATTTTAAAAAAAAACAAGTTTTATTAGAAGACGGATATCAGTAGATATCGGAATTTTAAAAAGAAAGCAAGAAAGGTTAGAGTAATAGAATTAATAATACGACGTTGAAAAGAACACGTGCTTTCAAAGTTTCAGTGAAGCGAAGCGAATATGCTACTTTCTGAATATCAATATTGCGCCATGCAAAAGAAAATTGAGATGAACATTGTTTACTTTTACAAAGCCCTTCTCTCTTTAAAATGTTTGAAGAAGATCAATCTAAAATGTTGAAATATTTGAAGGGAAATTATATGTAAGGGCTTAGACAAAAACGTGTTTCGAAGTGATGATTTTTTTTGTGAAGAGCACCCGCCATCGGTACGTAGAAAATGAATGAACGTGAAGTTAAATGCCTTGCCATTTTATCTAGGCTTACTTGAAAATTGTATTTTGTACAATTTTTTATGGGTATTTATGATTATCGAAATGGATAGTTTGATAAGGGTATGAAATAGAATTTCTATTTCTGCATGTGGAAGTGGCCAGTAAAATGTAAACGAATTGTAAAAAGGGTAATTTCGCCTAAACTATAATAGACCATGTTAATGTATATATTAATGCCCAGGTCTTTTAAATGCCTTGTTACAAACTATCTCATTTCATTTGAATTTAAATTTGAATCATCACTATAGGACCCCATGAAAGAAATATCATAAACCGGTCTACATGTACGACAACCACGATGGCTTGTCCTATACCTAACAACAACTAGTATGCAATTTGCATTCTGATTATTGAAATACAGTTAATTTATTTGTAAGAGGTAAATGAAATAGTTTGTAACGAGGCACTTAATAAAGACGTAATGTATTAAATTAGATTATATGACGAAAATGGTTTCTTACGATTTACAATAAATTCGTGCAATAAGAAGCACGTGTGCCCTTAAAGAGAAGGTGTGAGGTTTTTTTTTTTTTTTGGGGGGGGGGGCTAGAGGTGAAAAATAATTTGTGAACGTTTTCATTGTTAAATGCAAATGCGGAAGAACATTAGAGAGAAAAAAAATCCTGAAAAGCATGGCTCTTCAAATGCCTTAATATTCTAAATATGACAAGTAACAGCTTTAATATGTGGGCCCCGTTTTTTATGCCACATGATTGTGTAGTCCAATATACATCTGTCTGTGTACAGTGCTTGTTTCTTTTACCAAGACTGGGCCAAATTTCTTATCATTTTGATGATTTCGGAACCTTGCAGTACACATAATATATAACTTACAGACAGTATACAATGTATATGCAATATGCTACATGATCAACCTTTTCTGATCGATTCCACACCGTTTCTTTCACATTTCACAATGCAATCGCATTACAAGGGCCCCATTTCACGAAACCTGTCATCAGTGACAGAATGACCTTTTTTTGTTATAAGCTACTGAAATCCTTGCTTCTGATTGGTTATCAGCAGATTTTTCACTGATTTTTGTCATTTGTCATTGAAAAAAAGGCTTTGTGAAAGGGGCTCCAGAACTAAACTTTGTCTTAATGAGGAGGAAATAAATGAACAATGCACGCATCTATCGGAGAGTAAAACTATAGTAATAGGATATGTTCATATACGTTTACATAAAACCAGTGAAAGTCTCTGATACAACTTAGCCAAGTGCACGTATACAAGCAAAGCCACATTCTAAGAAGTCGGTATCCATGTGTATTGCATCATAATAGGCCATTTTCGCAATGTAACTACATTTAAGTGCCTCATTTTTAATTTATTCATTCACCTGTTACGAATAATTGTATTTCAAAATCAGAATGCAAACTGCGTATTTTATATGCTGTTAGGTATAGGGCAAGCCAATTTGTTTGTCTTGCCTAGCAACAGCTACTGTATGCAATTCGCATTTGGGAAAGGCAGAAAGGAGGGATTCCTTATAATGAAAGCCTACTCCTGAAACACACACATACAGGAAAAAAAAGAAACAGAACAAAAAAAAAAGAAAAAAAGTATTGCTTGAAATAAAGTAGACATTTTACCACCAAGTCACACCAAGGTCTATGGGATAATACATGCAGTCACGTGTGACACAGTGTGAGAGTGTCTACTTTATTCCAAGCAATACTGTCACTATGAATATGACTGACAAAGAAAGCGGACAAAATATACAGTTCCTCAGGTAGACAAAGGAACATCCCTTCACTGCTATTATGTAAAAATGTGTAGAACGGGTGTCACATGCATATTCACCTTTTTACATAATAGCAGTGAAGGGATGTTCCTTTGTCTACCTGAGGAACTGTATATTTTGTCCGCTTTCTTTGTCCGCCATATTCATAGTGTGTATGACTCCAGCAAGAGGGTGCAACAATTTTGGGTTTTGGGTAAGCGCCCGAATAGTGTCAAATTCCCATGAAATCCCACTACTACAAGCCTTTAAGTTCGTCGACATGCCGATAGGAGTGCAGTTTACAAAATCTCCTCCTCCCCTTTCCTTTTCTTCACATTCTCCCATATTTTCCACCGATATAGTCACCAGACACCGCAATGCAATAAGTACCTCAATATCATATTTCAAAATATTGATGTCGCAATACATTTCAAAACTATAACCTTTATGTAAGTCTTTATTATTAACCGAATGACTATATACGCCATTGAATTTCTATCGATTGATTTCATTTTTATTTCTCTTAATTTTCTTGATTTCACAATGAAAAATCCATTAACATGTAATGTATTTGATCTTAACGAGTTACCAAAATATTGGAACGTGCTACCAAAGTACTTGTCTTGCCCCTATAGTTTGTCAAATTAAAGATTTCTATTAAAAAACATCTTAAATAGGAGTAATCACATTCATACCTGTATATTTCGGATGTACAGCATTATATAGCAAGTCTTTAGTGATGGCATTTGTCCTGTCGAGTATTTTTGAATTGTGGTTTTATTTCATATTTTCTACTTTCCCCCTTTTTTTCTCGGGGGGGGGGGGGGGGCGGGCGGAGCGTTAACAATCTGGCCAATTGCTCATGTGACTCTTCAGTGGCCGGTAATATTGCAACTCCATCTCGCTTACTAATATTATGACTGACCGTATATATTCACTTTAACAACCAGTGACTAAGCAAATAAAAGCGTCCCTTCACAACAACATTCGTTAATACCCAGAGAAATGATTGTATAAGCTGCAATATCCGAGTGTAAAGTTTGTGGTAGGTGACCGGGTCCTTACGGGAGCACCAAATAAAGTTAGTATCAATCCTTCTCTTTCTATGTCATGATGATGTCTTGAATAGGGCATTGGAAGATTTATTTTCTTTCAACAAGGATCGTTGGGAATTCGTCCGATTTCCATTGGGACCTATATCATTTTAAGAGAGAACTCATTATGCCCTAGTATGCTATACCCAAATGCAACTCACCTATCAAAACTTATCATACCTTTCACCAACAATTATGTTTTTAAGATGAAGCATAAAGGCCGCGAGCTAATTTATCTTAGGTTGCGAAAATTGCTCTAGACATTAATTAAAAACCCTTTTTTTGTATGAGAGAACAACATTATGCCCTATACCCAAAAGCAACTCACCTATCAAAACTTATACCTTTCACCAATCTTGATGGTTTGAAGATGAAGCATATAATAATTATAGGCCGTGAGCTCATTTAACTTTGGTTGCGAACATTTCTCTAGAGATTAATTAAAAAACATGATGTTATCCTTGTTTGATCATTCAGTTACATACATGTCGTAACTGCAAGTCCGATTTGATTCGAGAGGTTTGTTAAAGGTAAAGACCAGTATTGGAAACGCCCCAATTTCAAAAAATGAAATGGAAGCTCTCATTACCAATCATGTGAAAGAATATGTTTTGACTAATACATGATGATACAAAATTTGCCAGGAAACCGCCTACTAATTCATATATTTGGTAAATTTGTTTCTCTCATGGTCTGTGAGAGATATAGGGTAGTCCCATATACATCTTTCTGTGTATAGTGCTTGTAACTTTACGAAGAATGGGCCGAATTTCTTATCATTTTGATGATTCCAGAACCTTGCAGATGCTAGATGCTAGATGATCAACCTTTTTCTGATCGATTCCACAACGTTTCTTTCACAATGCAATCGCATGACCATAACTGGTCTTTACCTTAAATGTTTTTGTCTTGATGTTAATTATTTCCCTTAACATTCGCCGTAAGCTCACCATCATTTTCTTCTTTTTTAGCTTCTTATACGCTTTAATTTAAATCAGGAGAGACAAGTGTGATATTGCCCAATGTTGTCGCTTCCTACATGAAGATCATTTCGAAGTTTGAACCCACATCATTTGTATGTTATCATTGATGAGTATTTAGCGACTTACTTTATAAACGGATTCGATCAATATTTATTCACAGAAAAAGAAAAGATCAAAAAAATTATTCACAGCGATCGTGTGGTCCGCAAAATCAAACGTAGTTACTGGT